TATTTGTGAATGCAGTCAAATTATGAGAGCAGAAAGCAGTCTAATACCTAAACTTTTCACACTTGAGGGAAAATACATTCCTAATTTATAATTTGCTTGGGTTTACTTACCAAAATCTTCGCTAAATTATCCTACAACTTGCAGCTTGTGTGCTGTGACCTAGTGCTGAGCCCATCGTTTCCCAGCTTCTTTAGGATGAAGAAGCTATAGATTCAGGCTTCCTCAGCCAAAATAATGGAAAATGGAGAAACCTGTGCTTGGCCTCAGCCAAAATAATAGGAAATGGTGAAACATGCACTTGATTAACACTCTTAATTAATAGCCAAGGAAACACTAAACTGCTGCTGCAGAAATTTCCACTTCATAATTGCGATGTGAGAGGGGAAAGCACCAGATAGCCTGGTCAGTGTCACTTAAGTGGATTGAAGGTAATTGTGGCTGGATACCACTCATGAACGTAACCTTTATATCCTCAGCATCAGCAGCTTCCCAGTACTCTTATAAGCTCTTGTCTATAGAGTTCAGTTTGACTGTTGTGTGTCAGTTTGGAGTCTCAATGGTGTTTGAATTTGAACGTGTTCTGCAACTGAAGAGGATTCTAAACACAGCAACTTCACTCGTCTTTTCCAGCATCTCCTTCAAATGCTGTTGTCTACCCCATATTCAGTGCACCCCCTGCCAGCAAGAAAAGGTAGGCTAATCTTTGCTAACTCTCTCCAAGAATGATCAGAAGTGTCATATCTGCAGAATCATTGTTTTAAAAAAAAATGTACCAGTTCTAAAAACAATGGCTTAACTTTCTCCCAATCCTTGTAAAGTTTGGGAGTCTGAGGGTGGGTTTTGGGTTTGTTGGGGGGGGGTATTGGGTTTTTTGTTTTTTTTTTTTTTTAAAGAGAAGATGAAAGGTTAAATTTGCATTGATTTAGGCAGATTCTAGCCTATAAACAAGGAAATACGCATTTGCTTATTGCCTGTAGTACATTTTACTTGTGAATTTGTGCATATTATTGGGCTGATGGGCTTTACTTCTTGAGCTAAAAAGGAAATAATGGTTTTCTCTTAGTTGTTGCTAATGGTAAAATCATTAGAACAAGGAGGACTGTTTCAGGATACTTTCATGACCAAGAATGGCACAGCCTTGGTGGTATTTGGGCCCTGTAGAGGGGGTTTTACTTATTTATACTACTTCTGTGTGTTCTGTATCTCCCTGTCTGGAGTGTCCCTAAGGAGCGGTAACTTTCGGTCTTTATGTACTGTTCATTAGGGACCTGCACCTCCCATCAGCCAGAGACCCTCGACAGTGCTAGCTATGAATTTAAGTAGTGGCCAGAGCTATCAAAACAAATTGTCTTTATTCAAACAGTTTGGCAAGTGCAGCGGCACGGTATAGTCGCTGGCCGTACAACGAGCAGGGAGGCATTGCTGTCCCTCACTCAAATCTAATCGATGGTATGGCTTTCTGTAGATACCTTTTGGCGTGTGGCACTGCAGACAGCAAACATAATGCGTGCTCATGAGTTTCATCCACCTACATCACCAATTGGTATGGCAGTGATGCCTCAGGCGTGGGCATTCTTGCCAGGTTTGAAGCAATTCTGTGTTGCGAGGAACCTTTTGAGCTAAGTTTGTTCACATCGGCTACAGCGTGTGAAAACTCAACTCTAACTGGGCCAGTTGAACCGCGGGTCCCTCGTTGCGTAAGGCTGGAAGGGCTGACGAGGCAGGTCAGTAACTGCCCAGGCCAGGCTGTGGCTCTTGCAGGAACTCACAGTGTCTCTGTCTCTGTCACACTCGATTTCCTTTACCCGTTAAGCCTACAGTATTAATTTTTAAACAGTTGAAATGACTCACTCTTGGGGAAGTCGCTGGCTTATTAAAGCTGTATGGAGCTAAATATTTCAGAAGGCTTGTTTACCTGCCTTGTGCTGGTGGTGTAGAATACCCATGTTCTTTAAATTTAGTGTCAAACTGTGCTCTCTCTGCCATGAAGTTCATTGCTTTTCCATGGTAGCTCTTCCTGTGTTATTCTCTTGTAACTATTACCCTGCCATGGCTAACCCTGACCAACATCTTCACTGTTAGTACTCCAAGGAGCGTCTGTTCGCTGTGCAGAAATCACCTGAAGTGCAAAGATCGGTAACTGCACTGCTCAGGTGTGTTCTGTATTGCGCTTTTTGTTAACCTGAGAGATTTAGTGCAGCAGCATTAGGTAGCAGCATGCTCAGAGGTTTTGATCTAGGTGCCGAAGACAAGACAGAAGGTGTAATAAAAATGGGTGACAAGGATTAATGGGAGTGCCTGCTTCTCTTCCACTTTCCCATGCTTACCTGAGTGGGTATTTTATAAGTCTGCTGGGCGATGTTTGATATTTAGTGTGATAGAAATGAAGCACAAACGTGTGAAGTATGCTTTTTGATTCTGTAAAAAACATGATATTGCTTAAATTACTTGCAGGCGCTGCAGGACTCTTTACTCATAAGATGTAATTGTACTACCCAGTGTTTTTGTTTCGGATTAGCTTATTTCTTCAATTAATTTGCTGTCGTACTCATAGACCTCTAGTGAAAAAAGACTTGTTTTCCCACACAAGAACCAGAGCTACTAATCCCTCTCCCATGTTGAATCAACTTCTTGATATGTTTTATTAATAACAAAAGCATTCTGAGCCCAGTTTATTGTGAACATAAAAAAAAAAAACCAGCTTAAAGTTACTCCTAAAAGAGCCAAAATAAACTTTCCAAAACTTGTTGCGCTACTGTAGTCCTCTGCCGCAGAAGTGTTGAAAGAGAGATCTGATTGCAATATTTGCTTTGCTTCCTCATGTGGCTTTTGAAATACCTTCCGTGGTGCAAGTGGAACCCTGGAATCTGTGGAAATCCTGATGTTTGTGATTAACTGAAAATCAGTCTTGGATTTGCAGTTGTCTCCTGGGAAGCTGATGAGCACAAGCTTTTCCTACATGAAGTCTCTGCTTTGGAAATTCTCCATAGTATCCAGATCTGTGAAATAGTTCGGTATATCTCACTAATTCCATGTTAAGGTTCACTGCACAAGTTACAATTTCTCATTTTAAGATTGTTTAAGAAATGCCACCTTACATATAGAAAAGTAAAGGTAGGTTAGAAAAACTCTGGAAATAGTTTGGTACATCTCACTAATTCCGTGTTAAGGTTCACTGCACAACAGTTACAATTTCCCATTTTAAGATTGTTTAAGAAATGCCACCTTACATACAGAAAAGTAAAGGTAGGTTAGAAAAACTCTGCAATTATTAACGCCTCTAGCAATGTGCTTCCCTGTAGCTGAAGCCCATGTCATCAACTTAAAAATTCATGTAAAGCCTCCATGTCTGGATCTGAATATGAAAAATTCCTCTTGGCCTTGCTTCGGTCCACTCCCTGATTTGGGAAGGCGGCCCTGCTAGATGGCGGAGCAGAGCTCAACCCCAGCACCAGGGGTTTTTCCTGAGATGCTGCCGATCCCCCGGTCTAGAGGGGTGTTGGTGTGAGGGGCTGGGACTTGTGGTGAAGAAGCAGCGACTGTGTGGGGAAGCAATCTTGGGACCCCAGAGGTACACAGAGCGTGGGCTCGAGACTGAGCTACCGTGGGTTTTGGCTAAAGCCTTGTCACTAGCTCTTGTACGCTTCAATCCCTACATGAAATGCTTTGTAGGTCATTAGAATTCAATTTTTCATTTTCTTCCTTGAGGGGAGAGTGGTGCTGATGTGGTGTGCACTTTAGAGTCAGCTTTCCTCACAAAACAGGAACACTTGAAGCTTTGTAAGATGACTTCAGTTGATGCTACTTCCCCTGCTGAGTCTGGGGGGTAGGACCCTGATCCTGACCTCGTATCGTGCTGTCCAGATGTCCAGTGTGGATCAGGTCTCCAGAAATGCTCAGACCAAGCTGTTGTACTGTGGGTTGCAGCGCGGTCACGTAGCCAGCCGTGCTCACCTTCCCAGGTATTCAAAGCCACATCTCCTCGCGTTCATCTCCTCAAGCCCTTTCATCTGCTGGGAACTTCACAAACCCACAGTTCTCCTCAACCCATTGAAGGGCAAACATGTCCCTCTCCGCTTGCATCTTTAGTACGGCGTTTCTGACTCCTGGCCGTGACCTGACATGTAGGCTTTTGGTGACCTCTTGTGTGGCTCAAGTGATGGTTTTGTCACCGTGTTCGGTGGCTACGGTCCTTTCCCGGGACTGAGAGTTTGGTGTGCTTTGCCCTGAGGAGGGAGGTGGGGTTTTGTGAAGGCCTGGAGTGTAGCAGACAAAAAACTCTTGACAGCTTTAGTAAGGGGGCTTCTCTCCAGGCGTGTCTTTAGGTGTGTGATCACAGCTGTAATTTTATGCACAGATTAAACAAGTTAGCAGCATGTCTGTGGGACTTTTGAGGTAGACTTCAGGTTTTTTTGGATCCCAGTTAGACTCAGGTGCAATGTTGCCTGAGCTGAGCAGCTTGCTGCCGAAAACCCTGAGCACACACAGGAGCATTTTGGATGTCGAGTTGCATGTGAGCAGCGGTTTGAGGATGGAGCTGCTGGACTTGGGCACTCTTCACCCGCAGTTCCCGTGTGTTGTGGACGTGGCCCTCTGCGTCTCAGTTTGTTGTATATCTCTTTGACTGTTCAAGGAGCTGCTGAATTTCCAATATCCTGGGAATAGGATGGCTGTGGAAGTGGGTGAGGTGCTTAATCAAGAGTTAATTTACCTTCTGATGCAACTGTGGCTCTTCCTAGAGCCCCGCTCCTTCCCTCCCTCCTCCAGAAGAGCTGGCACCACAGGGGTCGAGAAGCTTTGCTGTATCTGGCTTAGTTTGGAGTGTTCTGTAATAAGAGTCGCTGCCCGGCCCTGGTACCTGACATGTGATGTTAACCTTTGCCTGCAGTGACTAATTTTCATCTTACTCTGAAATGATTTTCAGGATGCAGGCTGCGCTGGATGAGCTGACTTCTCCGTTTGGGTCCAGCCCACCTGCAAAAACATCTCAATCCTCGCAGAAAAGCAAGAAGGCGAAAGAACTCTGCAAGTGCACTACAGATCAGATGATCATTGTAAGGTTCTCCTCGGGATGTGCTGGCTCTTTGGGGTGGCTTGGTGTGAGGAAACAAGAAATATGTCTTGAGGCTAGCCGATAAGTAGATTTCCTTACGTGTAAACCTCAAACCAGCCACGCTGCAATGACCCTGACAGGGTAGTGATTAACATATTCAGCACTAGACTAGGACAGGGTAATAGCTAGGAAATACGTTGTTATGGTTTCCCTGGGACTAACACTTTATTATGTTTTAGAATTCAAAAGAGATTTATGAAACAATAATTTAAAAAAAAAAAAACACCAACAAAAAACCAAACACCAAACAAGCAAACAAAAAAAAAAAAAAACACCCACCCCC